TGTTGTCTCTGATCTTGAACTTCATGTGATTTAGATGTTCAACAATCCTATCTTTTAACATGGTTTCCATCACTTTTCCCATTACTCAAGTAGTGGCCTATAGTTGTCAGACTATAATTAAAGTTGAGCGGACACCTGGATGTTTGGGTCCGGCGGGTTCAGCCGAACATTGAAAAAAAGTCCGGGTTCGGGCTCGAACTTGACCCCGAACTTGACCCCGAACCCCATTGAAGTCATGGGGACCCGAACTTTTGGCAACAAAAATCCCTCTAAAAAAACTCCTTGAAAGAGCTAGAGAGCTACAAAAGGAAATAAAATGGGGGTAAGAGTAGGACAAGTGTCCTGCAAACCAATGTGGATAGGGAAATCACTTAAAATAACATAAACATTACAAATACAGCTGAGCCATAAAATAGCACTAGATGGAATCTTTGATTTTAGCTTTGGAAGAACATAAATCAAAATCTAAAACATGGCTGTCAGGAGGATCAGCAGAATTATCCACTTGAGAGAGGGTTGGAGTGCAGGGTATACTCTTTTATTGTTCAAACTGAGCTCAACTCCTGATGCATGGAGAAAAGGTCTTCACAAGTCTCTGCTAATGTGTACCTAGTTTATACTAAGTGACCCATAGGTTGAGGAGGTGATGACCGGTGTGGTGGAGGAGGAAGCAGCGGTGGAGGTGGAGGATGAGGTAGCCAACACTGTATTTTATGTTTGTTTGTTTTTTTATTGTGGTAGCCCACGAAATATTGCGACATACAAATAAAGAAACATTTGCAGCCTGCGGTGCATTTCTTGCAGTCCTGATGCATGGAGAAATGCTCAACTCCTGATGCATGGAGAAAAGGCCTTCACAAGCCTCTGCTAATGTGTACCTAGTTTATACTAAGTGACCCATAGGTAGAGGAGGCGGTGACTGTGGCGGTGGAGGAGGAGGATGAGGTAGCCAACACTGTATTTTATGTTTTTTTTTTTAAATTGTGGTAGCCCACAAAATATTGGGACATACAAATAAAGTAACATTTGCGGCCTGCGGTGCATTTCTTGCAGTCCTGATGCATGGAGAAATGCTCAACTCCTGATGCATGGAGAAAAGGCCTTCACAAGCCTCTGCTAATGTGTACCTAGTTTATACTAAGTTACCCATAGGTTGAGGAGGCGGTGACAGTGGCGGTGGAGGAGATAGGATGAGGTAGCCAAAACTGTGTTTTATGTTTTGTTTTTTCTAATTGGGGTAGCCCCCAAAATATTGGGACATATAAAAAAAGCAACATCTGCGGCCTGCGGTGCATTTCTTGCAGTCCAATAACGCCATCAGGTTTTTAAAACTGTCCGTCTCCACCAGACGGAATGACAGGATTTCAAAGGCCAGGAATTTTGAAATGCTGGCATTCAGGGCCAGGGATCACAGGTGGCTAGGGGGGGTACTTCCTCTTTCTTTCCAGTGTTTGGGAGATGGACAGCTGAACACTTCCATGGGACAGTGTGGAGATGCTTGGGGACGGTGGCGGACGTGGTGGCCACTGTCACTCCAGAGGTGGAGGAAGAGGCCGAGACAGCAGCAGAAGAGGAAGCAGGAGGATCCTGAGACCTTTCTTGGTTTTTGAAGTGTTTACTCCACTGCAGCTCATGCTTTGCATGTAGATGCCTGGTCATGCAGGTTGTGCTCAGGTTTAGAACGTTTATGCCTCGCTTCAGGCTCTGATTGCACAGTGTGCAAACCACTAGTGTCTTGTCATCAGCACATTGTCTGAAGAACTGCCACGCCAGGGAACTCCTTGGAGCTGGCTTTAGTGTGCTCGGTCCCTGGGTGCGGTGGGCAGTAGCAGGTGTACTGTCTAGGGGTCGGCCACACCGCTTTTGCACCCTGCTCTACGAGGAGGAGGTGGATGAGGAGTAGGAGGTTGAGGAGGCGGTGACCGTGGTGGTGTAGGTGGAAGCAGTGGTGGAGGAGGTAGCCAACACTACTTTTTTTTTTTATTGGGGTAGCCCCCAAAATATTGGGACATATAAAAAAAGAAAACAAAGAATAAGTGCACTTGAGTATAACAATGGCTGAGTGAGGCCGGTATAAATGTCTATTCTGCAGAAGGTACAGACAAGTCTGGTGTGATCCATGCCTGGTTCATTTTAATAAACTTGAGCTTGTCCACGTTGGCTGTGGACAGGTGGCTGCACTTGTCTGTGATAACGCCCCCTGCTGTGCTAAATAAACGTTCAGACAATACACTGGCTGCAGGGCAGGCCAGCACCTCCAAGGCATAAAGGGCAAGCTCAGTCCATGTGCACAATTTTGAGACCCAGAAGTTGAATGGGGCAGACCCATCAGTCATTATGTGTAGGAGTGTGCACACGTACTGTTCCACCATGTTGCTGAAATGCTGCCTCCTGCTAAGACGTTCCATATCAGCTGGTGGTGCTGGTTGTTGTGGCGTGATGACAAAGCTTTTCCACGCTGCCTTGTGAGGTGCTGGCGGTGCCCCCGCTGTGTTGGCAACCTCTTCCTCCTCCTCTGCCTTCACCTTGTGCTTCCACTAAGCCCTTGGTGTCAGTTGGGAATGCCCTCAGCAGCGCGTCTACCAGCGTGCGCTTGTAGGCGCATCTTCCGTTCACGCTCCAGTGAGGGAATTAAGGATGGCACATTGTCCTTGTAATGGGGATCCAGCAGGGTGGCCACCCAGTAATCAGCACAAGTTAGAATGTGGGCAACTTGGCAGTCGTTGCGCAGGCACTTGACTTATTTGTTTTTACTTTGGACAGTTGAAATAGAGGAAGAGGTTCTATTTCAACTGTCCAAAGTAAAGACAAATAAGTCAATGGGACCTGATGGAATACACCCAAAGCTGTTAAAAGAGCTTAGTAGTGTACTAGCAAAACCATTAACAGATTTATTTAACCAATCATTGTTAACAGGAGTAGTCCCAGAAGATTGGAAGTTAGCGAATGTTGCGCCCATTCACAAGAAAGGTAATAGGGAGGATTCGGGCAATTATAGGCCAGTAGGCCTTACTTCAGTAGTGGGGAAAGTTGTTGAACATCTAAAAAACACATGGATTTCAAGATCAGAGGCAACATGGGTTTATTTCAGGGAGATCATGCCAAACTAATCTTATTGATTTTTTTGATTGGTTAACTAAAATTATAGATCAGGGTGGTGCAGTAGACATTGCTTACCTAGATTTCAGTAAGGCTTTTGACACTGTTGCACATAGAAGGCTTATCAATAAACTGCAATCTTTAAGTTTGGATTCCAATATTGTTGAATGGGTTAGGCAGTGGCTGAGTGACAGGCAACAGAGGATTGTAGTTAATGGAGTATATTCGAAACTTGGGCTTGTCACCAGTGGGGTACCTCAGGGATCTGTAATTGGACCCATTCTCTTTAATATTTTTATTAGTGATATTGCAGAAGGTCTTGATAGTAAGGTATGTCTTTTTGCTGATGATATTAAGATATGTAACAGAGTTGATGTTACAGGAGGGATAAGCCAAATGGCAAATGATTTAGGTAAACTAGAAAAATGGTCAGAATTGTGGCAACTGACATTTAATGTGGATAAGTGCAAGATAATGCATCTTGGACATAAAAACCCAAGGGTAGAGTACAGAATATTTGATAGAATCCTAACCTCAACATCTGAGGAAAGGGATTTAGGGGTGATTATTTCTGATGACGTAAAGGTAGGCAGACAATGTAATAGAGCAGCAGGAAATGCTAGCAGAATGCTTGGTTGTATAGGGAGAGGTATTAGCAGTAGAAAGAGGGAAGTGCTCATGCCATTGTACAGAACACTGATGAGACCTCACTTGGAGTATTGTACACAGTACTGGAGACCGTATCTTCAGAAGGATATTGATACCTTAGAGATAGTTCAGAGAAGGGCTACTAAACTGGTTCATGGATTGTGGGATAAAACTTACCAGGAAAGGTTAAAGGATCTTAACATGTATAGCTAGGAGGAAAGACTAGACAGGGGGGATATGATAGAAACATTTAAATACATAAAGGGAATCAAAACAGTAAAGGAGGAGACTATATTTAAAAGAAGAAAAACTACCACAATAAGATGACATAGTCTTAAATTAGAGGGACAAAGGTTTAAAAATAATATCAGGAAGTATTACTTTACTGAGAGGGTAGTGGATGCACGGAATAGCCTTCCAGCTGAAGTGGTAGAGGTTAACACAGTAAAGGAGTTTAAGCATGCGTGGGATAGGCATAAGGCTATCCTAACTATACGATAAGGCCAGGGACTAATGAAAGTATTTAGAAACTTGGGGAGACGAGATGGGCCGAATAGTTCTTATCTGCCATCACATTCTATGTTTCTATGTTTCTATAAGAGGGAGCAGGGTGCAAAAGCGGAGCGGTCGTCCCCTAGCGCTTGTCGGCATGTATTAGCTCAAAAATTCCAGTTATCCAAGTAACAGATGGAATGATCAAAGGATCCATAATATGGATGAGCGAACCCGAACTGCAAAGTTCGGGTACGTACTATATTTAATGAGCCATTCGAAGTTTCACATTGAGGGCAGCAGTCCGGTGACCGGGTCCAGACACTGTCTGGGCAGCGGTCGGACGACCGGGACCCAGAATGCCTGATGTTGAAGTTAAGAGTCAAAGTGTGGATTGGATTAGCAGGGTCTGGTGCAGGGTAACTGCACGCCCCCTGGTGTTGAGCACCAGCGTTTGTTCGGCCACACACCAGGACCCTGATGCAGCTTCAGTAAAAAGAGTACTGGATACCAGAAGCCATCACCAGACTGATCCGCTACTTGAAACCGCCTCATATGCGACGTGCCCACAAGGTGGAACTCCACCATGCACATGCTGGAGAGACTGTGCAAGCAGCAGCAGGCGATAGTGGAGTTTCAGCTGCAGCACGCACGGGTCAGTCGCTCTGCACCAGACTTGCCCTTCAATTGATCATAGTTAAATGATTTCAAGTGGACTTATCACAATTACAGGGCCTCTAAAGAGTCCTGTAATGTTATTTATCATCACTACATCCCCGTGTCGGGAGTGGGTAATTTGCGCGTCTGCTGCCTTCCTTGGATGTGGTAGCCATTTCTCAGGTTCCCTCTCCGGAATCGAACCCTGATTCCCCGTTACCCATGGTCACCATGGTAGGCACAGAAAGTGGCATCGAAAGTTGATTGGGCAGACATCCGAATGCAAAATCGCCGTCACGGGGACGTGCGATTGGCCCGATGTTCTCTAGAGTCACCAAAGTGCCTGCGCAACTATAATGTCAACAGCTACTCTGCCAAACGGATCTTCACTAATAGGTAGGGGATGGAGGGGGGCCCTGTGCCGGTCCCTTCTCTTCCCCACTCTATGGCAGACATCTGGCAGTACTGCCTCAGATCCTGGGAGATGCCTGGCCTGGAAGAAGCTGTGGGTGAGCCGAGACGCTGTCGGTTCCTGCCCAAATGCCCTGCCAAGGGTTTCTTGGGGCTGGGGCTGGCGGTCTCTCACCAGCCGTGTCGTTGGGGAGCCCATTGAAAAAGTGCTCTAGCATGACGAGCTTGGTGATCTCCTCAGGGAACTTGGTTTGATGGGAGTTGAGCAAGTTCTGGGTGGCCCTTGTGATGCGGCATGCCCACTCCGCATGGGAGTCCTTCTCCCCTTTCCGGGTCTCCCTAAACCTTTGGCGGTATTGCTCGGGGGTGACTGCATACCGGGTCAGGAGGATTTGTGTAATAAAGGGATAGTCGCTGATCTGCTCTTCTGGAAGAGCCTGGTAAATATCCGCTGCTTTCCCCACTAGTTTGCTGGCCAGGATAGTGACCCAGTCGCTGGGGTCCACGTCTTGGAGTAGGCACTGGCGCTCAAAGTCTTGTAAAAAGTCATTGATGCCTTCTCCTTAAAGTCTTTGAAGGCATTGTATGGTAGCTTGTGGACCAGGGTGGTTGTGCTCCCTGGTGCCCTCTGCTCCCTTCTTCCTTCATCTGGGTTCATGGAGGACATAGGCTTGCACCTCCAAAAAGATCTTGCTGACAATCTCTTCTGAGGGTTGCTCTCGGTAATATGCCAGGCGCCGTTCCACCTCCTTGCGCACTTCCTCCTCATCTCCAGCCTCTGGCTGGGGTTCGTTGCCTCACTGCGTGACTGGTCGTCCTCCATGAGCGCAGCAGTCAATTCGGCCTTGTTACGCCCACCAGGTGTTATTCCTCTGGCTCCACAGAAGTCCTGCAGTGTAGGTCACTTTAGAGCAATGTAGTCCATGGGTCTGTTGGCAGGGACATGGGATCCTGCCGCTTGCCACCAATTGAAGCGGGAACTGGGTAACCGATGGTTATACCCTTTGATTAGAATAGGTCAGACCCCTTTACCCAGTAACCGGATGGGGCACAGTTCCAGGATACAATGTTTGACAATCTTTATTTGGGTACACAGCTTTGCCTCCTGTTGCCTCCTCCTACTCCGCTTCCTCCTCCTCTATCACCTCCTCATCCGGTCAGCGTAACACCTTCACCACCAACTTCAGCACAGCCAGGTGAAAACTACAGCAGGCTGTTTTAAAACTCATATGTTTGGGGGAAAAACCCCACACCACGCAGGAGCTGTGGACGGGCATGGAACAACAGACCGATGAGTGGTTGTGGCAAATGAGCCTCAAGCTCGGCCTGGTGGTGTGCGATAATGGGCGAAATCTCGTAGCAGCTCTGGGCCTAGCCGGTTTGATGCATATCCCTTACCTGGCGCATGTGCTGAATTTGGTGGTGCAAAAATTCCTGAAAAACTACCTATGTATATCAGAGTTACTGCAGAAAGTGTGTGCCATCTGTGCGTGCTTTCAGCGTTCTCACCCTGCTGGCGCTTGCCTGCCTGCGCTGCAGCGTAACTTCAGCCTTCCCGCTCACCGCCTCATATGCGACGTGCCCACAAGGTGGAACTCCACCTTGCACATGCTGGAGAGACTGTGCGAGCAGCAGGCGATAGTGGAGTTTCATCAGACACTTTGCAGAACAGCACCACTTCACTACCAATGAGTGGGCCTTCATGCGAGACCTGTGTGCCATGTTGCACTGTTTCGAGTACTCCACCAACATGGCCAGTGCCATGACCCCGTTCTAAGCCCTATTATCCCGCATCTATGTCTCCTTGAAAAAAAGCTTCAGGCGATGATGGAAGAGGATGTGGCACAGGAGGAAGAGGAGGAGAAAGAGGGGTCATTTCCATGGTTATCAGGCCAGTCATTCACAAGTGGCTTGGAGAGTGGGTTCCTGCAACAGCATAGGCCAGGTACACAATTGTCAAGCATATCCACACTGTCCAATGCAAGCATTCAGCTGTCCTTCTCCCAAACACTGGAAAGAAAGAGGAAGTACCCCCCCTAGCCACGCGCGATCCCTGGCCCTGAATGCCAGCATTTCAAAATTTGTGGCCTTTGAAATCCTGTCATTCCGTCTGGTGGAGACGGACAGTTTTAAAAACCTGATGGCATTGTTGGACTGCAAGAAATGCACCGCAGGCCGCAAATGTTTCTTTTTTTTATGTGTCCCAATATTTTGGGGGCTACCCCAATTAAAAAAAAAATAAATTAAAAAAAAAACAACAAAAAAAAAACAGTGTTGGTTACCTCCTCCTCCTCCACCGCCGCTTCCACCTACACCGCCATGGTCACCGCCTCCTCAACCTATGGGTCACTTAGTATAAACTATGTACACAATAGCAGAGGATTGTGAAGGCCTTTTTCTCCATGCATCAGGAGTTGAGCATTTCTCCATGCATCAGGACTGCAGAAATGCACCGCAGGATGCAAATGTTTATTTTTTTATATGTTTCAATATTTTGGGGGCTACCACAATTAAAAAACAAAAAAAACAGTGTTGACTACCTCCTCCACCGCCACTTCCACCTACACCGCCATGGTCACCGCCTCCTCAACCTATGGGTCACTTAGTATAAACTATGTACACAATAGCAGAGGCTTGTGAAGGCCTTTTTCTCCATGCATCAGGAGTTGAGCATTTCTCCATGCATCAGGACTGCAGAAATGCACCGCAGGACGCAAATGTTTATTTTTTTATGTTTCCCAATATTTTGGGGTCTACCCCAATTTAAAAAACAAAACAAAAAAAAACCAGTGTTGGCTACCTCCTCCTCCTCCACCGCTGCTTCCACCTACACCACCACGGTCACCGCCTCCTCAACCTATGGGTCACTTAGTATAAACTATGTACACAATAGCAGAGACTTGTGAAGGACTTTTCTCCATGCATCAGGAGTTGAGCATTTCTCCATGCATTAGGACTGTAGAAATGCACCGCAGGACGCAAATGTTTCTTTTTTTATATGTCCCAATATTTTGAGGGCTATCCCAAATAAAAAAAAAAGTGTTGGCTACCTCCTCCTCCTCCACCACTGCTTCCACCTTCACCGCCTCCTCAACCTATGGGTCACTTAGTATAAACTATGTACACAATAGCAGAGGCTTGTGAAGGCCTTTTCTCCATGCATCAGGAGTTGAGCTCAGTTTGAACAATGAAAGAGAATACCCTCTCTCAAATGGATAATTCTGGTGATCCTCCTGACAGCCATGCTTTAAATTTTGATTTATGTTCTTCCAAAGCTAAAATCAAAGATTCCATTTAGTGCTATTTTATGGCTCAGCTGTATTTTTATTTTGTATGTATTTTATGTTATTTTAAGTGATTTCCCTATCCACATTTGTTTGCAGGGCACTTGTCCTACTCCTACCCCCATTTTACTTCCTTTTGCAGCTCTCTAGCCCTTTACAGGACTTTTTTAGAGCCATTTTTGTGCCCAAAAGTTCGTGTCCCCATTGAGTTCAATGGGGTTCATGGTCAAATTTGGGGACAAGTTCGAGCCTGAACCCGGACCTTTTTCGAAGTTCAGCCGAACCCACCAGAGCCGAACATCCAGGTGTCCGCTCAACTCTAACCGCAGGCCGCAAAGGTTCTATTTAGCACAAAAAAGTTAGATTTTTTTAAACTAACAATGTAACAGTAGTATTTAGGGGTTTTATTAGACTGCAAGAAATGCAGTACGCAAATGTACTGTTTAGCTCCAATAAATTGCAGTATTTAAAAATGCCTAGATGTTGCCCACTGAGCTACCAGAACAGGATTAAAGTAATGTGCCTGGCAAACATGCAGTTGCAAGTGCACTGCACTCTCTGTGGCACTGTGCTCAGGGAAGGGTACAAAAATGTAGTATAGCACCCACAAAAATAATCGCTGTAGTTTGCAGATCAACACCAGAATTCTTTCCTAATCTGTCCCTCACAAATGCAGCATCATCTCCCTACACTAATAAGAGTGCATGTGACGTGCGGCGCTATGTGACTTGAGCTTTTATATAGAGGCTGGGTCACATGCTGCACTGGCCAATCACAGCCATGCCATTAGTAGGCATGGCTGTGATGGCTTTTAAGGGCACACGAGTCAAATGCTTGTTGATTGGCTGCCCTGCAGCCTTTCAAAACGTGCCATTAAATTGCTGAACACCGAACTCCAACCAGAACATACACCGAAATGTCCATGTTCGAGTCCAGGGTCCAAAAACCGTAATGTTCGGTATGAACCCGAAGTTTACAGTTCGGGTTCGCTCAACTCTACATGGAGATCCTTTGTTTCCAGTATACTTCCTAATTCACTGAACTCATTTTTTTACAACCCTACATTTTCCTCTGACTTTGTCACTGGTACCAGTATTGACCAGCTGGGACATCCTGGACTTGAGCAGCCAGTAGACAGCAAAGTGTCCAGTTGAGATGATCAGAGCATAAGATTAATTTGTCAAACACAGTCAGTGCATATTATTACTTTGTTTCTGTTTATCTTCCTCTCTGAATAACAAGTGCACAGGATACTTTTTATAACAATGATTAATGGAAAGCCAAGATGGAGGTTTTCACTTACAGGACAGAAGCAACAGCAGAGTAGATGCATACATATAATATTATTTGTAAGACCTAACTACACTGAACAAAATTATAAACGCAACACTTTTGTTTTTGCCCCCATTTTTCATGAGCTGAACTCAAAGTTCTAAGTACACAAAAGGCCTATTTCTCTCAAATATTGTTCACAAATCTGTCTAAATTTGTGTTAGTGAGCACTTCTCCTTTGCCGAGATAATCCATTTACCTCACAAGTGGGGTATATCAAGATGCTGATTAGGCAGCATGAATATTGCACAGGTGTGCCTTAGGCTGGCCACAATAAAAGGCCACTCTAAAATGTGCAGTTTTACTGTTTTGGGTGGTTCCGAGGGGGGGT